CAGGCGCAGGCTCGTCTCGAGCAGCATGTGTTAGGACAGATGTGCGAACCCAGATGGGTGAGGTGTTGGAGAGAGCGTGTCCCCTGCCGGGACCCTGGGACGGCAGCTTCAGGTGGGGAAAATAGGGCCAGGACGTGCACAGGAAACAGTGCCGGAGTGGGAACTGCCTGCTCCCACGCATGACCCTGTTCCCGTGTGCAGCCCTGCAGCGGGAGGGCAGCAGCTTTTTGTGTCTGAAAATAAGTACAGGGAGCCGAGAGGTGCAGAGCCAGGCAGTGCAATGCGGGGTGGGAGGCATGGTGCTGCTGGCCATCGCTGTGCTCGGAGGCGGAGGAGCGGGCTGCAGGAAACTCTGGTTTTCTGACACCCTCGGGCACACAGGGAGGTGCCATCAGTGGTGGGGCAGGGGGCACGGTGGTGGTCCTGGCGTTTTGGAGAGCAGAGCGAGATGCCCTTAGGGAGTGTTACCCACACGCTGCAGGGGCGAGGTGCCTGCCCTCTCAGGGCCGAGCCAGGTGACCCACGGAGGTGGAAGGCAGCAAAGCTTTTCCAGACCCGCAGCCAAGTCCAGGAGTGCAGGGACACTGCGGCAGCTGAACCCAGATTTCCTGAGCCAGCTCCCAGTGCCCCGGCCCCGAGGCCTTGGCAACTTGCGTGCTCCAGCAGCAGGTCATGGGAGCACCTTGTCCCATAGTAACTGTACCTCCTCTTCCTGTTTGAAGTGATAAACGAGCTGGATGGGCTGGCCAAGGGCCCAGAGATGGAGCACCGGGCCGCAGGCTATGCCCGCCAAGTGCAGGAGAGAGCCAGGAAGTCCATCGAGTTCCTGGAGGAGCGATTCGAGAGCCGGGACAACTGCCTGAGGGCTCTGACCAGCCGAGGCAACGAGCTGGAGTCCATCTCCTTCCGCAGCGAAGACACCACGGGGCAGCAGGTAAGGGACATCCCGGCCCCAGGAGGCCGGGACGCAGAGGTAGTGATGCCAAGGGCTGGAGGCTCTTCACCAATGCCTCCTTGGGGGAAACCATGCACCCTGGGGTGCGTGAGCTCTGGGCAGGGGTAGCTCTGGCCCCACCTTTGCAGGCGGCTGAGCAGGCTCCTGCAGGCTGCATGTGTTCCAGCTCCGAGCAGCCCTGCTCTCTGCTGAGCTGCGGCAGTGTCTCGAGGGCAGTGCAGAAATCGGGGTGATGGGGTTGCAGGGTTTTTTCCTGCCAGGGGTAACGGTGCCCTTTTCTTCCAGGGAAACAATGATGACCTGATTCTGTCCTGCTGCCTCCACTATTGCAATGACAAGGCCAAGGATTTCATGCCCTCCAACAAAGGTAGAACATCCTCACGTCCTCCTTGTCCCTTCCCTGTTGCATCCCACGGACCCTTCTCGTTTCTCTTTCACGGCTCTTGGAGCCAATCCCTCCCGCATTTTGCCTCTTTCAACACCAAGGTGCCACCTCCTGCCTCTGCTCAGCCCTAGGCTGTGGCTCTCTCACCGCACCGCCAAATGCGCACCTCACTGCGCTGGGGATGCCCCAGCCTGTGAGAAACCCACCATAAATGTCCACCGAGCAATTTTATGATGCCAGGAGTGGTGATGAAGGGCCAGAACAAGCCTCCTCCCCGCAAGCCCCAGGGCCTCCTGGCCAGGGCCCTTTTCCCCTCCTGATGCCCAGTTGGCATCAGCCACGTGTGCTGGGACCAGACAGTCCCCGGGCTGTTGCCAGGGCAGTGGGGATGGGAATCACATCAGCAGCTGCCCAAGAAATCAACCCACATTTGTCAGCGCGAATTCTTAGCAGCTTAACTTGTCAGATTCACAGAGAAACCGTCACCAAATGTTTATGTGCAAATGATGCTGAATTTTGAAATCATGTGGATTATGGGGAATGGGGCCTGACAAGCTGACAGCCTCTGGTTTGTAACAAGGAGGCGCGTCACCAGCACGGAGCAGAGGATGTTTATTGTTACACATTTCTTAAAGCGTCCGCACAGAACCTCACAATCACGCTTTCGGCAGCCTTCGGCCCCAGGCCTGCCCTCCCACCGAGCCCCCGCTCCCCTTCCTCCCGGCACGGGCCGGCCGGGGCGCTCGCCCCGACATCCTCAGCCCAGACACCGTGACTGTAGCCCGCGTTCCTGGCCACCCTCCCCTTCCCCTTGTCCTGCCGCTCCCCACGCCGCCAATCTAGGCCCATGTTGGGCTCCCATAAACTCTGATTTTTAAAAAAAAATTTTTCCATTCCCGTCCTGGCTCGGAGGCACTGTGTTTCCTGTGCTCATAGGAACAGTACTCTGGTCACAGGACCCAGCTGCTTACACATACCCCATATGCTTCCCCTGCTTCGCACACACGTAAGCGTGGCTCCCACATCCCAGCCCGGCGCGTTGCGTGCGGGGCAGCTCATCCATCTGGGGG